CCCTTTTTATCTAGTGTAATCCTCAATGAAAATCTTGAAAGCGGGACGATGGTGCCATATATAGAGACAGCACTCAAGGTAAAGTACTCTTTTCTACTTTCGTTTTTCTTTCCAGTAAAAGAACCATGTCGTTGTAAATAGGTTTCGTTGTAAATAAGTTCCTTCGACTTTCTGAATTCTGTGTTAGATGAAGTTATTATTATCTCATCTCATCTCATCCCATCTCATTTCATCCTATCTCTTCTCATCTTATCTCTTATCATCTTTGCTCAACCCATCGATCTCTTCCTGTGTCATTACATTCCATTCCATCCGGTCCCAGCCAAGGAACAATTTAATCTGGTCTAATCTGATTTACATGAGAATGGATATAGTTTCCCCCGGGGGAAAAAAGACTCTATTGTAGTATTTCCAGAGGATAAATAAAAAATGTATCGTTTTGGTAAACCAACATGGCCGCTGTGACGTCACGTGAATTCGCTCTAATGAAATAGGCGTCTCCCCGAGCATTCGCGCTGTTAAAGTAAGAGTTAAATTCCGGGTCTCACCGCTCTGTTTTGGGGATAGGCAGTCGGGGGTTTCAAAGTTCTTCAGAATTCCTGTATCCAACCTCTTYTTCAAAATATTCAGGTAAGATCCGTTATTGTGTAATTGAATTCTTTTTCATTTCATATTTGTATTTTATTACAGGAAGGATTTGGTGTGATTATTACCAATGGGAACGATAATGTAGACTCTAACAATAGACCTATTCAGGTACAGGATTTGTTTGTAGAGTTYTTCCTCCCTCCTCTCAAATCAACCCTAACTWATTAAAACWTGTTAGAGCTGTGCTCCGGGTTATACATGGACTGTATAACGKGTGCCAGATGCGCCTTCACATGCTTTYAKTTTKWCCCCGTTGAGCTGCCCCCCTCCCCCTCTCCCACGCTGTACTTTGTGGTGGTGATTATATTAGCGATGACAATTKTTTTATTTATTTTTATTAGTAGTTACGAATATGCGAGTGSTGCTCTCTAATTAGTCAAACGATTCCTGATAAACTAGGTTCTTKAMTTGACTGCTTCGGCTTTAAATTTTCATGATCAGGGTAGCGAATCCGCCCAGGATCACTTTGTTTATGTCTGGAACAACTTCATCAAGAAGGCCAAGGCCGAGCACATCGTGATTGTTGCACATAGTTTGGCTAAAGAAGTAGTTCTTCATGGCGTAAGTATGCTTTCTGTTGTTTTATTTAGTTATCTAAGCCGCATAAAAAACATAAAGCAACATAGCACGAGCGGAATCGTCACGGTGTTTCGTCGTCGCGACGAAGTAGGTTTTGGTAGACGTCAATCAAGTCATTTTCATTACATTCCATAGGCAAGTGCACTAGAAAACTTTGTGCTTTTCGACATTGTCATGGAAACAATCCAACCATCCCTTACCAGCTGAACGGTGAATTTTGTTTCAGCCAATCATAGCGCGCTTAGCTGTTTTGCCACCGGCCCTCATTCCCAGGCTACTGTAACCCAACTTTTGCGTATTTTTCTGCTTTCTTTTGACTAAAATATAATAAACGTGCCTACTTGAAGCAGAAACATGGAAAAGAAGAATAAGAACATTTTCACTTTACCGCCATGCTTGCTTCGTTCTTTCATGCTTAGGGCAGGTCATTTTGTCCACTCATGCTTTGCGCGCCGTGTTCACCTCAGCTGGTATGGCAAATTGCTAGTCTACCCCGTTAAGGGAGTGAGAGTTGCGTGACGACACTAAGAACGGCTGCGGGGAAGACTAGCAAATTAACACGATTTCGTGCAAGTTGAGAACGACTGTAGTACAAACCAGTGCATTGGTAAAAGATATTTATAATACACATTTTCTTTGTAGCTAAGGGAAATTGATGAAGCAAGGAGGCGGATCAAGGCAGTGGCATTCACACACACCACTATCGAGGAATTAAGAGAAATCAAAAGTTGGCTCAATGAGGTTAGTTGTCTTATTGCCTCCTATCCCTTCTCACCTACACCCCTAGTCCAATCG